AAAAAAAACTTACAAATGCAAATTGAACATTTTCACCATAATACTTTAAACGTATATATATATCACAGTATCTGAAATATAACGATAGTTATTTTGAATATCAAATATTTTGGATTACAAACGTTTTATTTTCCGCTTTATTATTACTGTACTGTTTAATCTATTTTTTCAGCACCGCTTCCAACTCAATGGTCAACCTTATCAGAATTAAATTGTGATTTTGAGTCAAATTCTGATCTTTGTGGGTTTACATCGATGGAAAGATCCATATGGAGACATAGGGAAGCTGAATCATATTATTTTTTTTATCATTATTATTATTATTCCAGTTATCATCTACCGAATGAGGATTACACTTTGGATTCAGAAAGTGGTATGTTAACGTTAAAACTGTATTTACTTTTCTAAAGCTGTAATTGATATTGATATATTTATTTATATTGTTTGCACATTGAGGACAGAACTTATAATAGTACCTGTATGCCATTGACTATCCAGGTACAACTGCTCGGTAACTATCGACCTAAAATCAGCAGTACATGGATTTTCTTTTGCAATATTCTCTTTTAAAATAGGGGCATAAATGTATAATGCTTCGTATATTATATTTAGGCCAACTGGTACATACTGAAACAAAGGCACTTTTAACCATGGGCATGCAGTCAGGGTTGAAAGAATTATGGAGTTTATCTAGATAAAGTTCACACATTAATGAATTGAAATTTCTTATTGTGTATTATGTATCAAGAGATATACTACTATTAATTCCATAAAAATAAGAGGAAAGTGAGATTCTATATCTGTAGTATACTTTGTTTTAAGTTATAACTGACAGAGACTGGCATTGTATTGGGGCAAATACAGAGTGTTTAATGCCGTAGCCAGCTATTTAGGACAATTGGGATTGTCCTGCTTAATTTTCATTCAATTTTTATAAATAAACATTAAAAATTAACCATGGGATGGGTCCACATTAGATTTTAGGTGTAAAATGATTCAATTTTTTAAATAGTCACATTATTCAGTTTATATACATGAAAAATGGGTCAAAATTAAAATAAAATGGGTCCACATTAGTTAAATTGTATGCGTAAAATAGGTAAACAAAATTAAAATGGGTTGACATTATTAGTTTTTACGTGTAAACTGACTCTGCTGGTCCATTACACATAAATTGGTCCAAATTTTTAAAATGGTCTATATTATTCAGTTTGTGTGCATGAGATGGGTCCACATTAGTTATTTGGTGTAAAATGGTTCTCAATTTTTAAAATGGTCCACATTAATATGTAAAATATACCCATGGAATAGGTCCACATTTTAAAGAGACGATAACGACGACGACGATACACTAACAATAATAAAAGTAACAAATAAGCTACTGTAGATTTATTTATGCACCTCCAATCTACTTAACACTGATTTGAACTGGAATTAATTGGAATACCTTATAATACAAATACTACAATTAAGACAAATATAGAAATAATTAATATATGTACATTATTCTATTGTAAAAACTTGAATTAAATTGCTTAATAATGAGAGTAGCGCCCTATAATATTAATAGCGATATAACGGTATAGAACTACAATACTAATAATAAAAATGAGGAGCACGG